CACACACACACACACACACACACACACACACACACACACACACACACACACACACACACACACACACACACACACACACACACACACACAAAAGCAGCACAGAATTGGACAGACCAGCAACACAGAGGCGCAGTGCGCAGTGCTTGCACATGACAACAGCAAAGTTGGGGGTAGATACCCGAGGCTAATTTCGAAGAAGCCCATGTAGAAAAACAATGCAATGAGGGCGAGCCAACCAAGACCATTGCTGACGCTGCCGTGCTCCTCCTTCATCTGCAGGAGGTTGCAAACCAAGGGCAATGTGTGTGTGTGTGCGTGTGTGTGCGTGTGCGTGCGTGCGTGTATGTGTATGTGCTCGATCGCCGTACACCGTAAGCACCAAATACCCCCCGCCCCCCACACACGCACAACCCCCCCCACACACACACACACCACAGCGCACCTGGAAGACGGCAGCTAGGAGGGCGGTTGAGAGGGTCATGCCGGCAATGCCGACAATCATGAGGATGCGGCGGCCCGCGCTGTCGATGAGGAGCATCCCAACGCCAACAAACACAACCTTGATGACGCCAATGTAGATGGAGAAGGAGAAGGCGTGGTCCTGGTCAAACCCAGCAGAGATGATGATGGTTTGCGCGTAGAAGTTGACCGCGTTCACGCCTGTAGCGCACAGCAATTGACGAAGGAGCACAGGTATGAAGTGGCGGCAGCGACAAAACAGGGGGAGTGCGTTCACAAGAAACAGGAGAGTGCAATGCACGCAAGAACAGGGCAATTGCAAATAACCACGAGGCGAAGGCTCTCACCTGTAAATTGTTGGATTGCGCTGAGCATGGTTGCAATGTACACACCATACAGGACGTTTGGGCGAAGCAGGGACCGCCATGTCGCTGTTGGCTGATTGCACGCGGCTGTTATCTCATCCAGCTCCTGTACGTGATGTGTCCACGGCATGGGAGTGACGCGCATATGCGTGTATGTGTACACATGTGAGCGTGTGAATAGGTTGTCTTCAAGCAGCCTCACATACACGCACACACACAGACACGCACACACGCACACACACAGAGATACATGAGCACACGCACAGACAAACACAGACACACACACACACACACACACACAGAGCAACAGCCGCAGCGGCTGCTGTTGACCTGCTGGATGTGCGCTGGGGAGGACCTGACACAAGCTAGGACGCGGCGTGCAGCCGTCAGTCGCTTTCGGCGCACAAGAAACCGCGGTGACTCCGGCAGCGCAAAGGCAAACGCCACAATCAGGACGGCAGCGACAGGGGTGGCGCTGGTAGGGAGGTGGGGCAAGTGGTGTAGTGGGGGAAGAAGAGAGGAAGTGAGGGGGAGAGGGGGAGAGGGGGAGAGGGAGTGGGGGGGGGAGGGAGTGAGGGAGAGAGGGAGAGAGGGAGAGAGGGAGAGAGGGAGGAAGATGTAATCTCAGATGTGGCGTTGGACGGTGTGCGTAACGTGCCGGTGCAAAACGTTCGGACAAGGGAAAAAACATGCCGGCCAGCAACCCAGCCAGACAGACAGACAGGCAGGCACACACAAAGGCACAGACACACAGACACACACAAAGACACAGACACACAGACACACACAGTCACGCACAGACAGACAGACACACACAAAGACACAGACACACACAGACACACAGAGACACACAGAGACACACAAACACACGCCTACCTGGCAAGCATCCAGCGCCAGGCGGATGTGCGTGCGCGTTGGCAATAGTCGCCGTTTCCGGGGCACTTGAAGATGTCGTCGACAACAAAGCCCAGCAGCACGCCAATGCAGATGAACAGCTGCCATGCACATCGTCGTGTCGGAGAAGAGGTGGGTGTGAGGGAGAAATGCAACCAGGCTTCCACACGCGTTCGACCGCAAAGACTGGACAACAGAAAACACACACATGAAAGTGCTCGCTCTCTCTCTCTCGCTGTCACACACACACACACACACACACACACACACACACACACACACACACACACACACACACACACGAACACAAACACAAACACACACCTGATTTGCAGTGACGAGCCTGCCACGAAGCGCCTTTGGGCTGAGCTCTGCCACGTACACTGGCACCGATGTCGACAGGAGACCAACAGCTGAGCCAGTCACAAGCCGTCCAACCACTGCCATGCGCAGCAGAACGGAGGGAGGGTGACATGAGTGAGGACACAATGTACACGGCATAGAGTCAGTCGTCATGAAGGGCGACATCCACTCTTGCGGACAAACACACACACACACACACACACACACACACACACACACACACACACACACACACACACACACACACACACACAGACAGACACACACACACACACACACGCACGCAGTTGACACACACTCTCTCTCATTCTCAATCACACTTGTAGGTTCACTGGTACGGAAACAAACGAAGGATGGAAAGGAACGAAAGGTGCAAGCAAACAAAAGCAACACAAGACAACAACGATGGCGTTGGTTAGGCGGGGACGGACGGGAGGTACGCAACAAAGTGGTGCAAGAGGCACAAAACACAACAACACAACAAGCACTCGGCCAAACACACAGCCAAGCACAAACATCCACAGTACTGCGCGTGTAACACGTCATCGTACATGGCAAGGGTTAACGACGAACGCAGGGCACATTGGAACAAGCACACCCAAGCCACGAGCTGGGCTACACACAGCACACAGAACATACACACACACACACACGCACACATGCATACACACATACTACACACACACACACACGCAGACGCACACACACACACAACACACACACACACACACACGCGCGCACGAACAATTCATTCGGCGTCCTGATCATCGTGAGCGACGGGCCAGTAGGCATCGTGCTCGTTGGCCACCATGTGCAGAAGATGCCGGTGGGAGGCGAAGAAACGCGTGTGACTCATCACCGGCAGCCACGCCACCTTGTCGGCCACCTCGGCCTTGCTGCTCAGCCGAAGCTTGATGCGACCACTCTCGTCGTGGAAGTTGAAGCACTGGCTCTCGATCCAGGCGTTGTCGGTGTTGCGTGGGTCATCGCTGTAGATGCGCTCAAACTGCTTGATCTTGCACCTGCGCAGCTGCTTCATCACCTCGCGTTCTTGCGGGGACAGTTCCACGCCCTGTACCTCCTTGTCGTCGCCTTGGCCCTCAGCGCCGCTAATGCTGTCGTTGATGCTGGCCTGCTGTGCATCCTCGTCGTCAGTGTACTTGTCCTGGTGAATGTCCACGGCCTCCGTGACCAGCGTGATGAGCGCTTCATTCTTCAGCAGCGCCTTGATCTGGTCTTCCGAATCGGTGTCCTTTGGCCCCTGCCTCACAAAGCGGCCTGGGATGGCCCACACGCCGTCCTTCTTCCGGTGAATGGCCACAAACTCGAGCATCTTCTTGCCTTCGCGCACAAGCTCCGTGCCATCCTCGTTGCGCTTCCACCGCGTCAGCACGGCATCCACGGCCAAATTGACGCCCCAGCGCCCGAGAAAGCCCCGACCCTTGATGCCTGTCGGCCCCTTGGGGTTGAGTGGCATCTTGCTCGTGTTGTGGGAATCAGGCCCAGAATCAGGCTTCGAATCAGAAGTAGAATCAGGCTCGGGCGGGACGCGGGACCGGCGAAACACGCCACCTGCGTCTTTGTCAAATGCAATGCCCTCGGGATGTGGTTCGTCCATCCAAGACGCGTTCTCGTCTTGGCCAAGCTCATGAGGCTCAACACTTGGTGCATGATCCAGGTTGCGCACAAACTTCGTTCGCCCGTCATCGTAGTAGACGTCACCAGTTTTGTAAGCAGTTGGTGGAGGCGGCTTGAGCTCAGTCCTTCTGGTGCTGGTGCCCTCAGGTGCATCAAGCACCTGCCCATGCACGATCCAAAATGTGAGAGAGTGGGAGAGAATGGGCGAGTGTGCGACTTGGTGAATGTCTTTGACCCGAGCATGTTCGTGCCTCTTCTTTCGCACGGGCTCGCTCAACACAACACAACACAACACAACACAACACAACACACACACACAACACACACACCTTGCTGGCAACGGCATCGATGCGTTTGCGGACTTCCGAGATGAGCTGATCCTGGCTGTTGCGGAAGGCGCGCACGTGTTCCATGACGGTGCGAATGTCATCCTGTGCCTCCTCCAGCTGGTTGTTGCTGCGGCGCGCGCGCGCTTCGATGGTGTCTTGCTGCTCCTGCTTGAACCGCTGAAGAAAGCTGTCCATGTTGCTCTTCTCAAAGCGCCGGCACTCCGCCAGTTGTTTGGCCTCGCTGTCCGCATCTTCGTCGTCGTCGCTCTTTCTGTCATTGCCACCACCAGAGGCATGGTTGTTGTTGTTGTTGTTGTTGTTGTTGTTGTCGTACTCGTGGCTGTTGTCGTTGTTGTTGTTGTTGTTGTTGTTGTTGTTGTTGTTGTTGTTGTTGTTGTTGTTGTTGTTGTTGTTGTTGTTGTTTCCGTCGCCATTGCCTTCGATGACTTCAGCGGCTTCCTCATGTCGTGCACTGCTGTTGCTGTCGCCTTGGTGAGACTTCGTGGCGTCGGCCGTTTTGCTGTCGTGTTGGCGCTTGCACCACTGAACGCAGTCGCGCGGAAGCTTGACCAGGTACGACACCATCAGCCACACGTGCGAAATGGAGATGAGTGGAGCAGGCAGCAGCGGGCGGTCGTTGTACTCAAGTTGTAACTCTGAGGAACGGGAGGAGATGGGGTGGGAGTAGAGAGATGGCAGGCAAGTTAGGAATCGCGGCAGGAGATGTTCGATTGGAGCGACAAAAGGGGCGAACCAAGGATGGAAGGATGGTTGCACACAACGAATTTGTTGGAGGTGGCGTGGGTGTGCAATCTGGACGAAGGGTGTTGGTGCACAACAGCCACAACGAAACATGCACGACCAGTATGTCAAGAGTTTACACAGTTCACGTTTGAACGTACCATAGTTCTGCTCATACCAGAAGGCAAGTGCCTTGTCTTGCACCTTGCTGTAGGTGTCATTGAAGATGGCTGGCAAGGAGAAACCACAGACCAGACGAATGTGAAACGAGATAAGATGAGATGCGATGAGACGAATGGAGTTGCTCAGCTGCAGGCGTGCACATCTTTCGCACACAGCACTTTCACGTCCATCCATATGCACATGCACACACACACATACCAATGAGGAGGTTGACGAGGAGAATGTTGGTGATGAGGACATACACCGCCAGCAGGAACGGCACGAGGCGCACTTCCTGCAAAGATGACAAATGCAAAGTACGATTGTGAGCTGGAATACGTGCTAGCATGCTTGTGTGGGCTTGTGTGGGCTTGTGTGTGTGTGCGTGTGTGTGTGTGTGTGCGTGTGCGGTTGTTTCGCCTTGGCTTGCTTGGTATCATGTGTCAGTTCCAGTGCAATAAACTGCTCTCACGTTCGTGTGTGTGTGTGTGTGTGTGTGTGTGTGTGTGTGTGTGTGTGTGTGTGTGTGTGTGTGTGTGTGTGTGTGTGTGTGTGTGTGTGTGTGTTGTGTGGTGGGACTCACAGGGCGGCTGCAGGCAGAGAAAGGGTAAAAGCCGATGCAGTCCGTATCTTGCGCAATCTCCTCAAGCTGAATTTCGCCATAGATTTGGAAATAGGGGCGGAAGAACACATTGATGACCTTCTGGCCCGAGAACTCCGTCAGGGGGAACAGAAGCACTTGTGCAGCCACACCGTAACCTGCACGCGTGTGTTGTTGTTGTTGTTGTTGTTGTTGTTGTTGTTGTTGTTGTTGTTGTTGTTGTTGTTGTTGTTGTTGTTGTTGTTGTTTGTTGTTGTTTGTTGTTGTTGTTGTTGTTGTGTGTGTGTGTTGTTGTTGTTGTTGTTGTTGTTGTTGTTGTTGTTGTTGTTGTTGTTGTTGTTGTTGTTGTTGTTGTGACAGCATGGACGTGTTTGCGGGTGAATGTGAGCAATTTGCTTGGGAAACCCAACACAGTATGTGGGTTGTGCACAACGCGCGGCACGGTTGTACATCACAAGCCCACTGTGGATACGCACCGATAAGAAAGAGGACGACGAGGAGGATGAATGTGAAAATGTCACGGGTCATCTGTCCAATCATGATGAGCTTTGGCCCCAGCCTCTTGCTGACGGCGTAGTAGCGCATGAGACGTAGCCAAAGTCCAACGACAAGGAACGCGTGAACAGCTTTTGTTGCCGTCTATTCACGGTGGTCGAATGGCATTGGAGTGATGTGACGTCAGTTGAATGCGATTGCGCACGCGCACACAGAACACAGGCAGACAGACAGACAGACAGACAGACAGACAGACAGACAGACGCGCGCGCACACACACACACACACACACAGATACATACAGCCACAACTCACAACAACAAGTGCATTTGCAGAGAGCAGCGCACCTGAAACTGGCTGTCATCTGGTTGTGAGATGCGGATGGCAAATCCAGACCAGTAGAGGGCGAGGATGACAAGATCAAGCAGATTCCACGAGTATTTCCAGTAGCGACCACTAATGCTCGAGAATCGCAGCTGCATTGGTTCAAGTGCACAAACATTGTGTCGCTATCGTTAACACCACAAAGACTACACAGTCTTCACAGCAACACACCAACCAGCCTTGGAAGCCAGCATGCTGCCAGTCAAATAAAAAAAAACATACACAACACGCAACACATACACCATACACACACACCATACACACACCAAACACACACACACACACATACACCATGCACACACACACATACAGACGCAAGCGCATTAGCGCTCAACAAGACACATTCGCTTCGACCAACATCGATGCACACCTGTCTGATCTCCTCCAAGCTCAGGGATGCAAACCACGCCACGAGGACCCACTCGACATTGGACAACGTGGATTGCGGTTGTTCCAGCACGTAGTAGGACATGAGCACACAGAGGGACAGGTGCGACCAGAGGTCAAATGCAAATCTGCAACCGCAAGCATAGCGTGTACATCGCGTGACAAGAAGTGGTCAGTGCTCTCACTGACAAAAGCCGAAACAAAAGGCACGCAACAGCAGCGGCTCACAGCCTCACACACAAGCAGATACGACCGTCAACACCACTTTCACGACCACCGCTAACAGCATCAACAGCCACTGACTTTGTGATGGGAGCGCGTGTAAACTTGATGGCGTTTGTCAACGACGATCGTGACGGAAGCCAGGGTCGACAACTCCACGCGTGGCTGCCTCTGTCACCGTTACCCAGACTGGATGGCGAGTTGTTGTTGTCTTCGTCACCACTACCCTCATTGGAGAGCGAGCGGTTGTTGTCTTCGTTTTGAACAAAGAACTGCCGCGCTTGGTGTTTTCCCGTGTTGTCCGCCTGCAATTCCAAAAGTACAGCGCACGAAAATAGCCAGTGAGTTCCAGCTCCCACACACGCTGCGAAGCGGGGCACAACATCACGTCGCATTCTGAGCTGGAACACAACACACTTCTGGCCACAAAAACAAACCAAACCTTGGCCCGGTGGGGCAGGAAACGGAAGAACTTGAAGAGCGGGTACAAGGGCAGGATGCATGCGACAAGAACCTGCAAACCACGTGTCGACGTGAGTACAAGATGAGCAGAGGTTTGCCAACGGTCTGACCACACTGAAGCAAAGCTTAGAGGACAGCAGCGTGCAGCACACAATAAAACAATACGCATCACAACAACCACCAGCGTATGCATTGGCACCACCACTGCCACCGTGGCGTCATCATACAAGTCCAAATCGAGGCTGTCTCACCGTGAAGAAGTTGATGGAAGGGGCCAAGTCTCCGTACCACGTGTCGTTGATGGCCACTTGTGTGGCGGCATGACATAAGAATTCGCTCGCCTTTGTATCATACGCAATCTGGTCCAGGGTGCCAATGTCGCACAAACAAGACACGTGAGGGAAAGCCTTGGACAAGATGCGTATGACACACACACAGACACACAGATACACCCACACATACGTACACACATACTCGCACGCACACGCACACGCACACCTGCACAGGGGTGCGACCCGTCACGTTGTCCTTCTGGGCAAGGAGGCTTGCTGTTTCCTCCGTGTCCTCGTTGTAGCACTCCTTGACAACACCCAAGGCTAGCGTCTCAAAGTGACTGCAGATAATAGACAAGAAACCGCGCAGCTTGTTGGGTGAGACAGCCGCTTGTACGCGTAGCAGATCAGCACACACGCCATAACAACGTCAAACCAAAAGAATGCCAGTGCCTGCATTTGCTGCGGATAACTTGGTTGACGCAAAGACGCTGACGCAAACGAAGCAGCACATTGACTGCACATGTGTCAACGTACGCTGCATGCTGTCGCATGTTCTCACGCTCCTCTTCCAGGTGAGAGCCTTTGAGAGCCTGCGTTTGCGTGAGACGGAGGAGGATGTGGCGTGCAAGAAGGGCGTTCGAAATCGGTGCTTGGAGGCGGTGCCATAGCAGGCACGCCAACTCAAGCTGGTCTGTCACGACGGCCCAAAACTGCAAGCCAGCCAAAACATTATTCCAACAAGCAAACGGGCACATCAGAAGTGAGTGAATTGGATGCAGAAAACCGAGCATGTGTGACTGTATGTGACTGTGTGCGTGTATGACTGTGTGTGTGTGACTATGTGTGACTGTGTGTGTGTGCATCTCAACTTGCAGTCCAGAAGTCGAAAGCGTGAGAGCTTGCATGGGCAGAATTGGTGCGTTCGTGTCCAGTGTAACCTACGAAGAGGACGTGTGTTGCTTCCTCTTCACGGCGTGCGTGCTCCTCCGCGGACAAATCGACATGATTCTGCATGGCAGTGTCAATGCTCTTGTGAAACGCCGACTTGCTCAGCTTCCTGCTCATCAGGCGCCTGAAGGTCGGGTTCGTGTGTGTTTCCCAGCTGCGCTTGGGGCTGCATTTGTTTTGTTGTGGGTATGTGCATGTGTTGGGGCGAGTAAACGTGCGCCACGTGACAATGTGTGTGTGTGTGTGTGCGCAATACGTTGTGAATTGTGCATGCGCTTATGTGTGAGCCAAGAGGTGAGAGTTCGCAGCACGCACACTCAACACACACACACACGCTCAACACACACACGCACAC